CATGAGCTAAAAGAAGATCTGGATGATTGGCAGACAGTCGTCCACAACTACATGTAGGAGAGGTAGTCCACGACCACGTCTTTTGCAAATGCTAATGACGGTATAATAAGTCCTTAATGGATTCAGTCTTGCCTGCTACCGCCTGATTAGATGGTAAATGAACATGTACCAAAAAGTCTCTGAACTGAAGAATTTGACGACGTAGAAAGCTCTTTACAGCATGCTTGTAGCCAGAATGTGCCAACATTGGAATCACCAAAGGCTTGCTCTGCCGTGGAATATCCATCCCTCTGAACTGAATAACTTGCCGAAATAAAGATTTTACCTTTGTTCGAGGAGGATAAGGCAAAGACATGGAGATGCGAAAACTCTGAAGATCGAAGCTGTCGAGCAGCATCAAAGGCTAAAAGTTCTTATGCTGCAAGCATCATAAGAAAGTCCCAACCATGATGTGGTGAAGCAGAAAGAGGACATATAGAATCGAAGAACGCCAAGAGTATGCAACCGTCTTCGAACTTTCCTCCAAAGCCTGGAAGATCTAGTGGTGTAGCTAAGAGGAACAATCGACAACTTGGTGGTTCCATAGGTAGATGTCGGATGCAATTTGTTGATCCAAGGATGCTTGTACATTGGTCGCCAGTTTTGATTAATCTCCAACTCCTTTGTTCTTGTGCCAATTGCATTGACCAAGTTAAAAACATGCACAATAACAACTTCATGTAGAAGACCACCGGAATGAAGATAATGCATAACCAGTTCCACGTTAACCATTTGTCCTTGTTCTAAGCATCGATGTTTTCTCCACCGAGCATCTTGCCTGACGTGTATCCCTGCAAAGGTACTGCCCGCGTAAAAAGTCTTGTTTTGTAACCATTGTTCACCAGCTGTAGGCTCTGCATTGACATGAAGCAGTACGTAAACTGCGAACTGTCGTTGCATCATGCTTGAAAATCCTTGTAAAGATAGATGAGAAAGATGTGACATCCTTCGCTTCCAAGTACGAACATGTTGACATCTCCTATTGTGAAACTACAGAAAATTGATAGATATGCGATCTGCGATCATCACCCGACACGGAAGCCGCAGACTGAAGTCCACTTGATGACAATAACAGGCTTGTAGAAAGGCCAAATATTGCAGCAATCCAAGGTCCAAACATTGGAATACTCTCAAGGTCAGCAAATGTGTCAATTGTTGGACATCAGCAGTCAATCATGTAAAGCGCCGAAAGGATGATGCGCAAACAGTCAATGTCTTTGCACTTCCCGGCTGCGAAAACTGGTAGTCGGAGGGAGCAGGCACGATCTTTAAGTCGAGATCTTTGCTCCTGATTGAGGGATGCAAGAATACTGTCTGCCCTTGATTGTACGCTTTGCAAACCCTCTGTGTTGCGTACCTTCAGTCCGCCCCACCATTTTTTGATGGTGGTGGCCTTGGAACTGGACGGTGAATCTGTAGCAAGAGGACGCTCTGTAATCCCAATGTTCATTGGTAAGATCGCTCTTCACGGCAATCCTACGACGCTTGGTGCGCTGCGCCATGTTGGCTGAATCCGAAACAGGCCAACATGGCGCCTGGGGTTCAGTGTGAACTTCTGGGTTTTTACGTTCAACTGACACCCTCCTTTGCCATTGAAATGATCATGACAAAGGATCGTTGGAGATTTCGATTACCTTCATCTGTTCAGTCCAATTTTTGCAGCACATCGTTGTACCGATCACGACGAGCGAATATCAACAAGTATGTTTGGCCTTCAAGTCGTCAACATCAGCAACTTCAGGAGTTGGACAAGGTGTTTGAACGCATTTATGTTGAGGTGTAGCAGTGAAAATGTCTTATCTGACAGCCACTTTGGATGCAGCTTGGCGCAACCTTTTTGTGCCCATGAATCCTAACCTCAATTCGGCAAAGGAACCCTTATTGGCTTTAGATCGATGGATTCGTTATACCCAAAGCGAACTGCAATCTCTTCGGGCTGACACCATTCAGTAAGAAGGAAGAGGAGAAGTCCATCCATCGCATTCAGCAGGCGCAAGTGGATTCTATTCAAAGCCAAGTACGTCATCTTTCTCAGCAGATGACCGAACTTACTGAGGCCACAACTGAATTGTTCAATCAGGTTAAACAGATTCGAGGAACTCTTGACAGCATTGTATCTGATTTTCGACATCACTTCAAGTCTATTCCTGTCTGTACTGTTCCCCCAACTCAACCTGCTTTCAGTCAAGGGCCCTCTCAAACAGGCAAGTTTATGTTTCACCCGGTGGAGAAGCTTTTGAACGTAAAAGTTTACTGCACGTTCTTTTCTGTGATGTTCTGTTTGCATCGTTCACGCAATCCTCGACCTTGGCAGCTGTTTTGTTCTCTTTCAGCGATTGAGCATTGCATCATGGATAGCCAAAGGGAGCGTAGCCATTCTCCTTCTACTTCAGTACTATGGCGATGGTGTTGGAAAACACCAGATTCTGGCAAAAGTTGGTATAGGGAATGGTTTCTTGTATCATATAGCTGGATTCTGAAGAAAGCGGCTATCAACAAGTCTGGGATTCAATCATCTTTGATGGCAACCTCAAGCAATGCTGAGCCACCGTTCAACAAATTCTCCATCAAAGAAGCGGAAGCGTAGTCGCACTCCTTGAAAGAAGTCAAGCAGCTAAATAGTCTTTTTGCTAAGCTTCGTGATGCTTAGCCTGCAACAACTCAGAGCAAGTCGCTGTAAGCGACAAGAATTGCATTTCACAAGTGAGCATTCGTTTCACTTGGATTGATCGGAGGCTTTGAGCATAAAGTGCCGAATTCAGCACTCAGTCTTTTAGGATGGCTTTTCATCTGCATGTAATACTTCCTTGTCTAGTTGTTTTGCTTGGTAGCCAGTTCTACTGGGATCGTGTGTGTGCAACTCCTGTATCAAAGGATTTCGAATCTAAACCCTCTTTGCAATATTGTATTGTATTTGAAGAAAAGCAGGGGGCTGGCAGCCTATTCCGTGATGTCAGCCAACGAAGCTAGCGGAATGGGTGGAAGGAGCTATGAACGCATAGCTCTGTACCTGCAGCAAGTTTCACTCGGATGATCGTTTGCAATATTAATAGCTCGAGCCTTGAGACTCAAACAATCAATTGTATCGCTCATCTAACATACTGTGACTTCAAAAGTCTTGACAAAGAAGCTTCCAGAGGTCTTCTAGTCGAGTCTAGGTTAGACAATAAGATTTTGAAGTAGTAAAAAGAATTGACAGAGAAGAAAGAGATCGAAAAGAAGAGCAACGACAACCGGCAGTGACCGGGATCTACATGTCTGTGACCCCTGTTTCCAAGGATTTTCAAGCAGTATTGCGAGCTTGCACGGGGGTCAGGCTTCCAGTGACTGACCTGATCCAACCAAGCTAGGTCACTGGAAGGGAAGTGACTGGGGACGCTCAGTCATTTACCTGCAATTTTCCATGGCAAGAGTGAGCGAGATTGCATTGAGATAGTCAGGTATGTAGTCAGGCACAATGTTATCAAAGCTCAGATTGGAGACCTGCACATGTGTGTGTGTGTGTGGGTGGGTGGGTGTATGTGGGTGCGTGTGTGTGTGTGTGCGCGTGTGTGTGCTTGCGTGCGTGCCAGGCCGTGTGGTGCTTGACTTGGCCTGACCTCAAAGGACAGTTGGCGCTGAGCCCGATGCCTTCCTGTTACCACGAGGACGTCCGCGGCTTCCAGCTGTTCGGGCTCCAGAAACTCCGAAGACGGTGTCGCCCAAACTGCCCCGAGCTCTTGTGGAGTTTGCGGGGCCTCGATTGCCAGACCAGCAAAAAAGCTTTGCAACTCAGTGGTGCTTAAACTATGCTGACATGAAGGCTTGTGACGAAAACACAGCTGTTTCTGGCCTGGCATTTGTTCCGTGGCGCTGTGCGCTGGGCGAAGAAGGTCATTGCCGAAAAAAACAATGCATGGCTGGGCCCTTAATCAGATCCCAGTTGACTGCAACATTCTAATTGGTGAGACTGTGGGGCCGTGCCAGCACACGCATGTCTGTCCGTCTGTCTGTCTCTGTATCTGTCCGCGTGTAACATATTGCAGGCGTCGGGTGCTACCTGAGGTCCCGCCCGCATCCCGCCTTTCAGAGACGCTGTTGATCGCTGATGGAGTTTGCGGTGGAGATTGTGTTTTAAACCGCTGCCCAAAAAGCTTCTGGCAACAAAACTGACGTTTGATAGAGATTGCACAAAGTCATAAAAACAGAGCGAATGCAAAAGCTCAGATATGCAAGACTTTCAGGCGTGTGTACATGACAGGGTGGAAATATGTGACGCACGGTACCCAACAAAAACATGAAGTCAGATCGTCAGGATACCATGAACACACGTACAATCGATCGCAAGCATATGTTTGTTTGCCGGTGAGCAGGTAAATAGGTGAGGAGCTATCTCGGTGTGCCAGTGTGCACACGTATACACTTGTAGACGAGTGGACTGGCCGGTATGTAAGGTATATCTGTCACATGTGCATGTTCGAGTTTGGAATTTCTGGCGGGGGAGGTATCATGGTTATAAAGGTCCTGCATGGGCCCTACTTCACCAGTGGTAGATGTGAAGGAATATGCATGCATAGCCGATGTACACGATAGCTTTTCTTTGAGATGCTAAACTATACGTACGTTGTCAACGACTGTATTCATGTCCACGTGCCACCTTGAGCCCAAAAGGCTTGGCATCCTCAAGGATTAATGGAGATGCAAGCGCCAAGCCTCTAGGAGCTCGAAGTTGCAATCTTCTTTTGCAGTGCCGACGCTGACGTGTGCAAGGTCTGTTGCTTCTGAGGCAGAATCCCGAATCCCAAAAATTTATGTGATAGAGCAGCTGAAAAGCTGCTGTGCGCAGGAAGCCCGGCAGTTGCCGCACTGGAACAACCTGTTCACGAACGTAAAAGACTCGAGACGTCAGGGGAGACTTGCGAAAGGCAAACGTCTCCGATCGCGGTTGCTATGTTTCTTGACAACTGTGACGGGTAGGTGCTATGGCGCTAGAGCCACTAGAGGACGAGATGCTTGTGATTTGCATTATGCCACGGCTGCAGTCCACAACATTCGGACAACACGCGACAATGTCCAAGGCTCAGGCAAAGATCTTTTTTAAAGTACAAGAGCCTTTGGACAATGGGAATGAGCAAGCAATCAAAGCGCACTTGGTTCGCCATGCTCTTTCCGTCCCTCTTGCCTCTGTGAAATGTGGACTTGAGCTGTTGATAGATCCCATTTTCTTGGAAATTCTTACATTCTCAGTCCACAAGTTTCGCAGCAGTGAAAAGCGCAGCAAATCAGAGTCACATCCGCTCCTTGGCTCTCTGGCGTGGCTCTGGGCCCATGGAAACCCTCCCCCCGATGCGAAGCATCAGGCTGAGCTCAGAGCTCGGCTCAACTGGGGCTGTGCCTTCGAGGCCACAGTGTCATCGATGCTCGACAAAACGACGAAAGCTTCGGCCTCTGTGATACATGAAACTTGGGCCTCAGGCCACAAGACCTTTGCAGCAGGCTGCTGTGCGGTTCGGTAGAGCTTTTCAGGTGATGTGTTGCCATTTAAGTTTCCAGCTCCGAAATATGCCGATCGCCATTGCCTGACCATTGTTGAAGCGGGTGCATGCGACAGCAAGACAGGGCCACACCTGAACTCTGCAGGCAAGGCTTCCAACCTGAGAACGAAGGAGACTCAACAGCGAAGCATGATGCAATATTGAGCGAGGATGCTTGGACCAAGCAAAACACTTCTCAAGCAAATGCACGCCGGACTGGTCATTGACAGCTGTGAAATCCACACTTGCCGGAATTTGCAGAGAGCCAAACACAGGAGCACATCATCATGGGATGTGAAGCTCAGTGGAACCTCAACCCAGCTTGAGGCTTCGACCTGGAAAATGGATTTGGCACTGGCGTGGAGATGTATGGGAAATTTGTCATCCTCGGAAGTCTGATCGCAACACGTCCCGTAGCCAGCTGCCACAGCTGCGCGCTGCGAGCCGCAGCAAAGGTCTGCAGCCAGGTGGCTAAAGCACCGGCGAGGGAGCCATGGTGCTCCACTCATGGGTCTTCATTGACCTTGAAACGCATGAAAACATAACATAATCATTGAGTAACACTGCCTTCGCACTGGCATAAGTGTTGCTAGCCGCCTACGAGTCGGTCCAACCCAGGCCCCTCACCCTGGATCGGGTTCCAGCTCTCTCTGCCAGCGTGAGTGCACGTAGAGTGCGTGATATCTGATACATTTACTTTCGTCGTCGTGAAATGGCTTCCAAATCGCCAATCTTAGATGCCGTGAACTCGTCAGCACTCTGCTACTTCCAGCAAGCGATGTCTTTGGTAGCATGGCTTTGGAAACATTGGAACAAAGAGCTCATCTGGGGAAGATGGGGTTTAAGATGGCTTGATATGACACGGCATGTGAAAACTATGGATTACATCAATTTACCGGATTGATTGAACTCGCCTCGCCTATCCTCGGCTTCGCGGCAACGAACCTATGTAGTAGCATGATGTGCGCTCTTCTGGATGGTGATATGGAATCATACGATGAAGGGTTTGCAACCTTCGGCTCCGCGTTTCCTGCCTTTGAAGGATCCTACCAGCCGGTGTGCTTTTTGTTGCATTATCGGAGATGTTTACCTGGACAGGCACCGAAAACTTGAACCTGGATCCACTCGCTGTCGTTTTTGTCTGGAACGCGAGTTAAACGTGCGTTAATCAGAAATGTTCAGCGAAATTGAAAGGATGTACCAAATGTCCGGCCCTTCCAGCGCCCCAGGCCCAATCGTTTGGACAGACAAGAATGCCCGGCGATCGGCGATCCAAAAGGGTCGGGCCGGACAGACGTAAAGCACATATGAACCGATCTTCGGCAGCCGTGTGACACCTATAGCCTACAACGCCACCTACTAAGTCTTAGAGCCACCCCCTTCGCACGAACCTTTCAGCAGCCGCAGCAGTCGAACGAAAATTGTTAAACGCTGCGGCATGGCGTCCAGCGTCAGCTCTCCGACTTTCCCTGTGAACAAGCTTGATCAAGCCCGAATAACCGCCGAGCCACCCTTCACGGGGCCACTTCCCTGTCCCGAAAGGAACAAACCCAAGCGCCAATGCCGACCCCAACATGCATGATCATGCCAAATGAAAAAGTAGAAAACTTCCCGCTCTACACGCTCGAAGGCTCAACGAGCTCGCACACGTTTTCCTTTGGGGGGTAGCTACGCATGGATGTGCAGAATCGGCCCGATCGTCCCAATGGGCACGATCCGTGTCATTTCGGAGTACCACGAGAGCCCCGCGATCGCTTGCTGCACATGACGGCGCGGGCTTGGTCGAGAACCGGCTGGCCAAGTCCATCTTAAAAACACGAAATGAACCGAGGATCGCCTGCCTGAGACCATGATCGAATGAATGATACCAGTAGCGGCTCGACCCCTGACACGAGACCCGACCCGAGACGCCCCGGCGACGGACCCGGGCCTCCAGCAAACGAGAAGACGCCAGCCATGCCCGATATCGCATGAACATGCAACTGCATGCAGGCGAGGCAGCAGAAGCTGGTGCATTGCAACGCTTCCCGAGACATTGATTGCTGCAGGGCTGGGCACTTCCCGTGCCGATCGGTTTCCTTTCTTCCCCCTTCAGCCAGGCACCGTCGCTGCTGGTGGGCATCGCGCTTCCTGAGCGCAGTGAAGAATTAGAGGCTTCAGAACCTGCGTGAGCACTCGCCTGCGCAAAATCGACCTCAGGACGCCATGAACGACTTGGGTGGGTTTAGGAACCTTTCCACTGCAAGACTTCGCCATAACAGTGGATGCGGGTACTACCCGAGTGGTCCCGCCTCTCCGCATGAGAGCTGGGGCGTGAGCTTTCTGGCGACTGGAGACGGTCGTCCGTTTGATCACGTGCCTTCTGCCTTGATCGCATCGTGATCGTCGGATATGGCGAATGCCCGGCTCCACGTGAGCGCAGCTGCGGATCGCCACAAGGACCCGACGTCACCACTGCCGCTTATGTTTCGAATAATGATGTCGCCGAGCAGATGAAGATTGATCTCGAGCTGAACATGAAACTTCTTTGCATCCAGAGCTCCCTCATCGGCTGGGTCTGACTGCATCGTCCCAGCAGTGCTGGGCGAAACGCTCAATGTGCTTTGACCCGGCCCCTCCTTGCGAGGGTCAGCATCATGTCTCACGACCACGATGTCCGGCTACAGCAAACGAACGGGAACAAGCAAGGACAGATCTGAGTGTTTTTAATTCTGTTTCTATCCTAAGGACGCAAAAACCCCTTCCGCACAACCCTTCCGCCACTGCTTCCGCAGCCTTCCGCGCCTCGAAGCGTTGGCAGGTTTCCGAGGCACTAAATGTCGTCCCTTCCGCGCACCGCTTCGCAAGCGAACCCTTCCGCAAGAGCATATACCCCTCTTGACGTATTACCGTGACTCTCGGCAAGTGCAACCCCTCTTGACGTATTCGTTGCTTCCGCGCCCTTCCGCGGAGCAACGCCTTCCGCAGCCCTTCCGCGTCCTTCCGCGCGCACAGTCCCAGAGCGACTTTCAAATCGAGTGAAAGTTTTGTGTCCAGCTGTCATCTTCCGTAATGAAGCGGGCGAAAAAAATGCCGCTCATCTGTGTCTGCACGACATCCACGAGAGAAAACACGAGGAATGTTTTCCGGAGCACAAGCCGAGAAAAACGCTGAAACGCCTCGTGACCCACCCTCTGCATGGGATCTCGCAGACGACCGAGATCACGTGAGCCCACTTCGAGAAGCTTGTGATTGATCTCACTCTTTGACACACGCATGAAATTGATGGGCAATGCGAACATCTTTGTTGTTAAGCATGGGTCTGGCATTGCTCTCCAAGAACTGACTTAGCCTCAGGTGTTGGGCGGGCCCACCAGCAGGGCCTACAGGCGATCGAGCGGATCCCATCTGCTGTGACCTCCGTCCGGACCGCCCTGCTTCCAGTGACCCCGTATTGACCCCAAGCAGCCACGGCTTCGAGAGAAAGCGCTACATCCCAAGCCTCTGAACAAACGTAGCATGCAACTCTCATGCAGGAGTGTGATACTCATGGCCCAGACCTACCTAGCCGTAGTTCTGAGAAAAACATTGCCCTGGCTGTTCTCTCGGTGAATTTGTGTTGCCTGATCCTACCTCGATTGCTGTGATCCCGACTGCAGCTCTTGGCATTTTTACCCTTGCTTCTTCTGGCATGCGGCGAGAACTCACCATTGAAGCATGTCTTCCATGGTGCGCCGTCGAGTCAAATGTGCCCACATGACAACCATTCACCAATGCACAGCACTCGTCATGCACAGAGTAACAACGTCCGCTCAGTGCAAAGCCAGTTTCGGTCCCTGCCCCCGACCGGCATATCCGGGAAATGCATATGCACGACGTTGAATGAGCAACTCTTAGTCGCGCACATCACGGATTGAACATGGCTGACAGACCAGTCAATCGCGGAGTTGGGCTTGTTCAGGAAAGGAAGCATGCCGCCCTTGGTGCCGCAGAGTCTCTGCGTGCTGCTCTACCGGACACTGCCAGAGAAACGAACAGATGCTATCTGATGCGACACGTCAGAATGCTGAAAACAGCGCCACAGAAGTTCAGAAAGAACATCAAGAGCAGGACTAGAAAGAAAGCACACGTGCCTGCTTAACAGACTTGCTGGCCCTCAGAGAGCGCAGAGCGCCCACCTTAGACCAACACAAGACGCAATACCCGAAGCTATTCGTGTGACGACGCATCTCGAGATCAGGGTCAACCGAGGGCCCGGCTGAAGAGCAGCGAGAGCCCATTCCAGGCGTTCCAAGGCGTTCCTGGTGTGGCCCATACCGCAGCTTGAAGCACTGCATAGCACTGCGCAGGCATGCCTTCTTGGAGCTCACATCCATTGAAAGCGGTGTGGCTGGAAGGCCCATGTCCAAAGCCATGGCCGAGACAGAACCTGAAAATCATGTACAATAGTTAATGTGTCAAATGCAGCGTGCAGGTCGCCGGAATCTGAGCCGCCGCACCGGCGGATGCAGACTTGAACATGCCTTACCGAAAACCGCAGACAACATGCTTCACGAGACACGGTCCCGACAAGCTCCGGTCTGATGGGGCCTTCGTCTTCTCACTATGTTGCTTGCGGAGAGAATGCAGCCCACCATATCACAACGCATTTGCTCTGAGCTGTCCGCCAGGTGTGGCTAGCTTGATGCTGGAGCTTGGCCTTCGAAAGACGTTGAAATATGCAGCCTGCAATCTGCATCGATGGCACAGAGCCACACTGACAGCGCTCCTTGCCTCGACGGAGCCTGTGCAAGTGTGCAAGAGCTTTGGGCATGTTGAGAAGTCCGGCTGACAAGTCATGATCTTCCCTGGAACCAGTATCCTATGCATTGGCCAGCCAATGAAATCTAGAATCTAGAGTCCCAGCCTTGTCGTCTTCAAGTGTATCCATGCGGTACAGCTGGGTGCTGCCCATTGCTTCAAACCTCGCGCTGCACTCCACCAGGACCAAGCAATCAAGGTCCAAGTGGAACACGTGCTGCGGCCGTCTCCAAGAAGATCCGGTTGTCGACCCCCCAAGCGATGATGTCCCCAACCGAATCCCAACATGCTTTCTTCGAGTAGGTGAGCCTGCCTTTCAAGATGCAGTGGGGTTGCAAGCAGGCGCTGCCGGGTATCTGTCCGTCTGGAGCATGCGCACGAGCATTGGGTCGAGGAAGAGAACCGGAACGCCACAAGAGTGATTTCCCACGAGAGTGAATTTACATGTTTGCTATGAAAACGGGGGTCCGAGTCCGGGATCCGGGATTTTGGTCCTTAGGGAGTCCTGGTTTTGCATAGCTGCACCGTTTTTGTAGTCTCAACTTGTTCAGCTTCCTCTCTGGCGGCCCAGTGTCTTCTTGTGCGAGAACCAATGCATATCATACGGAGGGGGGGAGGGGGGGAGGCGCAAGTCCACGCAGCTTTCCATCAGTACAAGAACGGGATATTCATGCATGCTGGAGAAGATCTTATACTGGAAGCTGTAATGACATTGAGCGCCAGGGCCTGCACATCCCGCAAACCTACAGTCTCCAGCAATCCGGAACTAGGTCTGTCGCATGGCCGTGATGCTCGACTTTCGAACCAGACCTGATGCATGCAAGCAAGGGCTTGCTGGAACTCGCCTTCTAGCTCCAGTGGGGTCACAGCTGTCAAGGCAACACATTACGAGATCCGGAAGCATCAGGTCAGCAATTTGCGCAAAGAAGCCACTCGAACAATTGGACAAATCAGAAGCAGTGGCTGACGGCTGACTGCAGTCATGAAGTGCAAGGCATGCGTCTGGACAATGGCAACTCTCCGAGTGCAGCACCACCGCTCTGTCCCTCACTACTGGAATCATCATCCATCTGGAAAGCGAGCGGCTCCTGCGGAGCTCAGCATCGAAAACCACTCGCCAACGCCATCATGCACACCTTGGTGCGGAGGCCAGCAGCAGGAGCACCAGCCTCAGTCCGAATATATCCCATGCCCCTGTCCTCTCTGTGGCTATCGTGTTTTCACTATCCCTGAAGTGTCTTCTTGAACAGGTGCCGGACCATGACCCAAGGACGGTTCGACCTTAGAATTTGCCAGTTTGCTCTGTGTTGTCCCGGCCAGCTCCGTGGTTTGGTTTGCGCAAAAACATGCTGAACCTTCTCGAATTTCGCTAGGTCTGCTGGGATGTTGCGGGACATCTTCTGTATTTGCGCTTTTCCTACGACTCCAATACATGTGCGAACAATCCTAAAGGTGTTCGACACTTTCAAGCGATCCGTAGTACTGGAATACTTGAGAAATACATGATATCCAATGTGCAAAAGACTACGTTTGCAGAATGTGTTCTGTCTTGGGTCCAAGTCTTGCAAGATTGGGCCACAAGCGAGCTCTGGGCCGCAACCGTTGGAATGCAATCCCATCTTGAGCCACAACCCAATCTATACCTCATCTTAACTTGCCACAGAGAAGCAAATATCCCGCATGCCTTAGGACTTCTTACCAGCTACATTACCTACATGTTTCATGCAAAACAGCGAAACACGCATCCGTTGCCTAGACCTTGATATTCTTCAAGCAGGCACAAGAAGAAGAATCGTCAGAATGCGCAGAACCACACATCACCAAATCTTGATTAATTCCGACGGAAGCCTCCGACGCCAGAGGCTCCACCGACTGAGCTGTAATGAGCCTCCTACGCACATGTCCCCGGAGCTGTATGGGAGCTGCAGAAGAGCGGTAACAAAAGTGCAACGCCCACGCACATGGAACCCATTACAAATGCCGAAGACTGAAAAAACTTTCAGAATCCTGTAGTCCCTTGCAACTAATCCCTATAGAACCAAGAAGGACGCAGCGGCTTCTTCAGCAGCTGCCGCGGTATAGGATTTTCCGCACCAGGAATTTCTGCTATCTGAAGCCGATCCAATCCAAGCAAGAATTGCTAGGGTTCTGCTGCGTCCTCGGAAGCGTGAAACGATTCTCAGACACGGACCCACCCACCATCCAGACTATCTGAACGATATCTCAGCTCCGTCCCAGGGTCTCCAAACACCGCAAACCATCCAACCGTTGCAACTTGATGGAGCTGCCCACTCCAAAGCCAGGCTCCCCAAACCTCCTCTGCTTGCCCCCCCTGCCTGACAACATACCTCTAAGGTGTTTCACCCAGGTTTGATGGGCTGGGTCCCAGCCCATCAAACCTTATACTACATAACATTGGTCACCCGTTTTGTTATATTACATTACATTGAACTGCATTATATGATCTCATATTCTGTTGTACTACCATGATTTCACATATTATATTGTGTTATATGATGTTTTGTTACACTACATTGTATCAACTTATGTTACATCATGTTGTGAATTGTTGTACTTCCATGTATTATATGGTCTTAGCTGTTTGTCTTGATTGCCTTTAAACCAAGAGATGCTTCCGGACACCGCGTTCGATGTCCCATATAGGCCTCCCGCCCGCCTTCTGCCTCCCCACCGTACCACTTTCTTGGCTCGCTACGAGTAGAGTTTTTTTCTTCGGCTACAAGGAGCACGTCGTCCGGACACGCTCCCCTACAAGGAGTACGCCCGGACACGCCACCCTCAACCCCCGCCGACAGCTTCCTCATCACCGTACTGCTTCAGTTCCACCCCTTTGTTTTTCTGCTGTGCGTCCACGCCGCCACCCCACAATTTACCCTCTTCCGCCACGCTGTACAGCTTTCTCAGCTCGCTTGTGTAGAACAGACAGACAAGAAAGATAAAGAAAGCTTGTCTTAGGCTCCCCTTCCATTGCGCCAACTTCCATCCACCGTACCGATTAAGAAGCTCATCCCTCTCACAGAAAAGGGCTCTCTCTCTCTCTCTCTCTCTCTCTCTCTCTCTCTCTCTCTCTCTCTCTCTCTTCGTTTTACGTTATTGCCTGAAGATCACCTAGGAACAAATGTTGCAGAATGCATCCTTCGGACCAGGTTGGTAGACATCTTCGATGGTGAATGCATAGAGGGCAGCTCTCCACTGGTGTAGACACATTGCTGGCAGGCGTTACTCCCCTTGTTGACATGTCAGAGTCTAGACTCCTGGCGGTAGCCAGAATTGCTGCATGTGCACAGATGTGTGATCCGTCACGCAGCAGACACCTAGAGGAGCAAGACACAGTCGCGAGGCAGTCGAAGGCTTGTATCCTCTGTGGAAACACGAAAACCCTAGCCAAACGAAGGAGTCCCGACCGTTATTGCCGGGGGGGGTGCGACTAAACCCGCAAAAAAGCAGACCCACCCCTTTTCATTTTTCATTGAATGATAGCTCCATAATTCCCCAAAAACTTTCATGGCACCCGTCCCCCCCCTCCGTCCGTTGTACCGCTTTAGCATCCCACAAGTATGGAAACTCGGTTCCAAGGAGCACGTTCGGACAAGCTCGCGAGTATAGAAATTGAACATGTTCCTTTGGCATCCCCCCCACACAAGTTTCCCTCCCGCCACCCCCACCTTTGACAGAATTTGCCGCCCTCACTTCTTCTTCTTCTCGGACACGTCACCCCCCCAACCAAGCACTGGACAAGTTTTTCCCGCGCCCACCGACCACCATACACGAGTTCCCCTGTACAATGGTATTGCAGCATAGTCCAAACACAGTTGACACCTGAAGCTGCGAAATCTGAGTGCCTCTGCTTGGGTGACGTTGCAGGAGGCTGCGGATCCACCTTGGCACTTTTACGTTCGCGTGCCACTGGTGGTGCCAATACCTCATTGGGTGCCCAGCAGGCAAAGATTCGGTTGGTACCCGAACGACAGCTCCGATGATACGCCGCTTCGTGCGGCCCATCCTCGGCACAAGTTGCGAAGACACTGCCGCTCTCAACTCCGACTGCTTGCACAAGTGCGCACAAGAAGCACTGCTTTCCAGAGGCCTTGTGTAAAGGGGGGCACGAAGCGAGGACTTGCACCACTGCGAGCAGCGAGCTCGTGGATACATGCTCGAAGAAAACCACGACAGACTCGCAACACTCAGATGCAGCAAGGTCAAGCGAGTCTTGGGTTGACACGCCCTTGTCGGTGACGCTGGCCGGTCTGGCCTTGGTTGGACCGAACAGTACCACGGGTATGCTGTTGTACTGCAACAACACCATGTCTTGCTTCACCGGGTTCAAAAGCTGGAAGCCCGCGAGGCCTCACCAAGTATTGAGCTGTTGGCTGGCAACCCCCAAGCCATAAAGCTGGCCCTAAAGCAGATGTTATGTTGGATGATGGTTGTCAAACTTTTCACCCGACCCTAGAAGGAGATCTTCGCTGGCAAACCCTCTGTGCCCCCTCTGCACCCCCTCTCTGCCCCCTCTGTGCCCCCTCTGTGCCCCCTCTGTGCCCCCCTGTGCCCCCCTGTGCCCCCCTATGCCCCGCTGTGCCCCGCTGTGCCCCGCTGCCAACGTGTTCCGTGCTTCTGTGTTTCTGTGCCCCTGTGCCCCTGTGCCCCTGAGCCCCCTGTGCCCCCTGTGCCCCCTTTGCGCCTGCCCCTGTGCCGCGCGGCACGGGTCAAAACATATCTGAGTCTTGTCCGATCCCCTGCCCCTGCCCCTGCCCTTGCCGTTGGTGCTGCTGCTGCCGCCCTTATTGCTACTGCTACTGCTGCTGCTGCTGCTGCGACGACGACGACTACTACTGCTTCAGGAAGATCGAGATTAAGGCCAGAGTAGATCCTGGAACAATGAAAGAACATCACGACGACAATGACGACCACGACCACTAGGACCACTCGGACCACCATGACCAGCAGGACGACTGGAATGAGCGCGACAACCCGGATACCTCGCGGAGAAAACCAGGAGATCCCAGAACAAACCAGGAGAGCACCGGAACACTGCAAAAATGCCTTCCTCACAAGTACGGCGCTGCCTCCCCCCATCAGGACGAAATAAATGCTTTCCTCACATACTGCTGCGATTTAAGAGAAGCTAGGGATTGAGTCAGCTTGTCCCTCGTTGCTGTGGTCGATTTGTGCTGCTTTTCTTCCTCGTTTGCTCCTGTCCGGTTTGCTTGCCTGTCTGTCTGCTTACTTGCTTGCCGGCATGCTTGATTTCTCGATTGCTTGCACCGTGTTTTATTTGGAAGACCTACTTGGAGGTTCATGGGTAGTTATAAGTGGGGCTATAAGTCCCCTATAAGTCCCCTAATCTAGGCTATAACCATAGTTACCCTACTTATAACCCTACTAACTACCCATGAACCTCCAAGTACACGACAACAAAACCACGCAAAAATCCCAAAGAAAGAGGAACACCCAGGAAAGGCACATCGTGAAACGATGCTGGGGAGGTTGGGCCAGGACTAACATGTTCTAAAGATTTGAGTAACGTCTAGACAAAGGAAGAACTTCAGGGCTTCATTTCGAGCACTGGAATGATCGGAGCATCTTATTTTGACGCAGCTTAATTTCTGAGCGTATGTTCACAACCAAACCCTCTCATGCTCCAGAAGTCCGCAACAAACTTTTCATTGCTACGTGCTGTGGCATGCTTGTTCAGCTGAGGTCTAGGCACTGCGGCAGCGCAGACCTGCTGCTCCTGCTGAGATTGAAGCAGAATTAAAGTCCTGAGGTACAGCGGTCCGAAAGTAGTGTCCTCGACAGCTTGTTCAACTGGTTGAGGCCTGAGACGTTGACTGGCAAACAAGGTTTTTTTTGTGTTGTCCAAACCTGCGATAGAATCTAGCATCCTGCGTTTGAGAGGCCAGCTGTGCAGGCGCTTGCACCTGGCAAGCTGCCAGTTCCTGCCTCTCTTGCCATCTATTATGCATGCATTCACGGACTCTCAAAAGCTGACAACATATTTTTGAAACACATCAGACATGTGTTCTCAATGCGAAACCTGCAAGAACGACAGACACCAAAGGGCTGGGCGCTTTTTGGGGTGGGCTTGCTACGGTTTCACAGTACCCGGGCCACCCGGGCAGTTTGAACCCCGAAACCGTCCCCCAGGTGGCTCTCACGCTAGCGGTTAAACAAGTTTACACATGCTCACTGCGAAAATACAATACCCAGGACATAATCCAGCAAGTAAAAATGTGGATTCTGCTACCTAAGAAGCATTTTGGAAAATCATTGCGCTTCAGAAAGGTAATGTATTTGTGAAAGCAGATTGCTTTCGTTTCCAAACGCAGGGACATGTATACTGCTTCAACTTGATCAATATTGCTTGGCTCGGATACTATGGCTTACATCAGTACAAGTATGCAATATGAATGTTTACATAGTCGCACTCTACTCATGAAGCAAACTGAACAGAATAGCCAGCTGTGAGTTCTTTCTATCGTTCGAAAGATGGTAGTTGGCTTTTCAAAGTGGTAATTTTACTCAAAGGTTTTGGAGCAAAGTCACGTGATTTACTTGAACACATGCTGTTGCATTTGTATTCAAACTCGGACCCAAAAATATGCACGCATGCCCTTGCCCAGACAATTGGGCCACATCTTCATCCTTGCCCTTGCAGAAGAGTGGGTGGGTTCTGGCCTCTCGCAAACTTGGATGGCATCTACATCGTTCTCCACGAGACACTTGCGTGCACGTGCCGAACTACGTGGGCTACGTGGAGCCAAATTGCCGGTGATGCTCGGGCCTCTCTCTCTCGAGCTAAGAGCCAGAAGCAAGCCAAACCAGGCTGAGCCACAGAATCTACACCCTCCAAAAAAGCGTATGCCAGCGGATGGCGCCTGAAACTGCGGCGGCAGGAGCCAGGTCCCAACCTCTCGGCTCGCGAGCGACTCGGCGCAGCGCGACCGCAGCGACCGGACCCGCAGCGCGGTTCTCTTCGGCTCCCGGCGGAGGGACAGAGGTGGAAAGGTCTTGACCTAGGCACAAGGCCACATAAGGCCACATAAGGCCACAAGGCACAGCTCCAGCACGCCTTATGTCTTTGTGTGATACAATTCAATACTCCACAAGTGGTGAAAAACTGCAGAGGACACCGTTCAATCTGATGAGGGCTTGGCTCGACGATGGCAGGAGCCTGGCAAGTGTGTTGTTGCAAGCTGTAACCTTCGCATGGGTGCATCATGCTCCGGCTGATAATCCTTCAGCAACTGCTGCTCATGTCGGTGCAGCAGGTTCCGCTGCTTGGGATCCAGAGCTTCCCAAATCTGCGCAAATTCAAAGCCATCCAGGAAGCTTCAGCAGGAGCTCGTATCGCAGGTAAACAATAAATCAAGTGACAGTCTTCGTCTACACAAGAAAGAAATTCGTTGAAGCCCTGCGCCCCGGGCTTCTGCCCCTTCAAATGTCACGTGTTGGCAGAGGCACTTTGACAGATGCCTCTCCCTGTCACGATCCCCAAACCCTCTTGCACTCGTCGTGCTCGTGCGCCTTGGTCTCGCGCTTCTGGCGGATTGACTCCATGGCCTGCAAAACAGCCAACTCACACTCAGACTTCAATGAGGTTGGAATGCGGAGCCATGAAAATCAGAGCCAGGTTTAGATTCGTTCATAGTCTTTCTGTTCTGGATGGTGGCCTTCTGGAAATCACCAGTGTCCAGCGTTTTGAGCAAGGCCGACTTGGCCTCCAGTCACAGGCTACCCTACGCAGCCGCGACACTTCGATCATCCCACTTGGTTGATTCGTAGAGTCTATACCTCGCCGCACGTCGCAGGTCCTGGCGACTGCCTCACACCTTACCCTGGCTGCTCTGGGCTGGGCTGGCCAATCCTCCCACCCAACCTTCTCACGGATCTCTTCCAGGCTCGCTCTGTCCTGCAACGAAACGGAAGTGGTGAAGGGCCGGAGCCCGCCATCCTGCAGAATCAATGGCTGCGATTCGCAGAAGATCCTCGGAGACCTGGCAGGGAAGGTTCAAACGTCACAGCCAGCCGTGCACCACTGTCAGCCCGTTGGACACTGCAAACGCACAACAAGCCTCAGCAACGGCCGAGGAAGTCCGAACCCCGTCGCTATTCTCTTAGTCTTGTGTACCATCGAGATGCTTTGTGCTGTGCCCTTGGAATTTCCACATGCTCGCCACACTCGTCCGGATATAGCTGCAGTCTGTATCTGAAGCCCTTGGAAACATGCCCCGGTGGCCGCTGGCTTACGCTGCAAAGCCGCAGCAAGGCGGCCGTCGCGGGCAGCTGTCAAGAGCCGGTCTCGAGCCTGTCGAGAAGTCTCCAAGCCCTGGGGGGGGCCTTCCTCCGATCCTCTGACTTGAAATCCGGTCGCAGCCTCAGCTCGAAGGGTGTCCACGCGAGCTTCCTGCAGTGCCTCCCGCAGACTGCCATCTTGGGCGGCACGGATCATCGTGGAGCGGGCCTGACAACTCTGGCTCTCCACGACACGCCGTGACCCGAAGGTTCCCAACCTCCAAGCGAAGAGCCTCCAAGTCAACCTGCCAAGAGCTTAGCTCTCGAAAAGGCTTGTCTTTGAAGCGTGAGATATGCTGAGAGGCTCAAGCAGAGACGACGACACGAAGACACGAGGCATGCAGAAGACAAAATGACACTGGAACAGAGAGACAGATGCTTCCAGGCAGGAGTCCAGAAAAGACTATGCGAGAGTCCCCGCCTCAGGCTTGCGGCTTGAAAGGGCCTCAGCAAGCTTTCCATTTTGTGCGGCTGCCACCAGAGCCTGGGCAGCCTGAAGGCTTTGGCAAAGCTTGAAGTGACGAGCACTGAAAGATCTGCCCAGGCCTCATGGCGTAGCTTCTCAAGATCCTCGCCCTTCTGAGCCTTCTTGGCCTGGCTGCCGTCCAATCATGGGGAGCATGATGGGCGATGCAACATTGCCTCCTGGGCGACCTTGGATGCCTCCAACGGTGTTGAGCCGCGGGCGCTGCACACCCACGCTAACTAATAATATCTTGGGCCTCCCGAACAGATCGGAATGCAGCGGCCAGGCGGCCGTCACCGGCGGCCCGGAGCAGTGTATCACGCGCCTGACAGACCACAGAGGCACTTCCGAGGCACGGTGGTCGGGTCCCTCGCCTCCTGGCGAAGGAGCTCCACATCTGGCTTTGAGGGCTCCGACTCCTTCAAAGAAACAAGACATGATGAAAGTTGACACGCATCTGGCCTCGTTCTGATGGTTTACAACGTTGGCGGTCCTCACGTGCTTCTTGCAGGGCAGATGCTAAGCTTCCGTCCCGTGCAGCGCAAAGGAGAGTGTCACGTGCCTGCTTCGACTGGAGGCACAAAGCGGCGACTTCCACTGCGAACCAACAATCCATGTTGCAAAATTGTGGCCAATGGAGCCAGCGGCTGGTTTTGCTTGGGACTGCTCTGCCACCGTAACTACGGAGGCATTAGACGCACAGGCCTAGAGCTGTCGCCTGGCAGTGGCAAAAAGGCCAACAGGCAGGTGCCTCCACTCGGAGAGCCTCGAGATCCAATGGAGATGGTGCCGCCTGGCGCGACTTCACACCGCAGCAAACCGTACTTTAGGCCTAAGATCGCAAGGTTAGTTTCAGAAGAAACAAGCTTATGGCCAGATTGTTTCACCAGAAGAACTACTATACTTGCGATCCTACTTAAACTTTAAGTAGGTGCAAGCCACATGAGGTGAGTTGGCCAGGAGGGGAAAAACCAGCACGCTCTAGCTCGGAGAGTCTGTTTCGACGTCGACAAACAAACTCAGTAACTCAATCTCGGGTTCGACGGCGAAAATCCAGCTTCCGGCGGCAACAAGCAAACTCTGTCTCGCAGAGTTTGTTCGGCGGCCAAGCGCAACTCTTGCCGGGGAGATTGTTTTTGCAGAGGAAGCTATCGTTTCTAGCAGGTTCTCTGGACGAAACAAAGCCCTGTCACGACGCTTTGTTGCTCCTAAACGGCCAAATTTGACAGCTGGAGTTTGTTTCTTCACGTCGAAACAAAGTGTTCTGGCCGGAGGTTGCCTGTTTTGGCACATTCCGGAAGGGGCCAAAGCGGAAGGGTTTCCTTGGGCGACACAAACTCTGGGGACGGGCGAGAAAGCGAGCTGGCGCCACGGGACCTGGCTGTGGCTCCAAGGCAGCTGAGCTCTGGTTCCGCTTCGTGGTGTGTTTCCGCGGTGCTGCAACCATCGTTTTTGGTTCGTGTGCTCAGGTTCAGAATCAGAACTCTACCCCGTTTGATTCGATCAGACCGGAGTACCGTGCATAATGCTGGGTACGACCCAGCAGTTCAGTATGGCGCTCCGCCTGTGCGAAATTGGTTCCCATGAGGGGTGCACCAGGAAATCCACAAGGTCCTTGGACAACTTGTCCGCCACAGGAGCTCCATGGAGAATTGGAGTGAACGGTTGATAGTGGCAGAATGCGTCCGGACAACACTCCTGGACTCCCGGTGCCCACTGCTATACTATGCTATATTCCGAAGCACCTCGAACGATCTTGGAGTTTAGCCGCCCATCTTGAAATTACGTGCTGCGCAAAGCGCTGCAGTTTCAGCCTTTTTCGGACCTCGCCCATGGCCAATTCAAGCAATTCGGCCAGTTGGCGGCCGCTGTGCGGCGCCAATGGGACGCTAGCTCAGCCGCTCGCACCCCTAAGCTCGTTTCTGGTGGTCCCGGCGAAACGCCAAGGCGAGGATGTTGCGCTTGTGCAAGGGGACGTGCGAATTCGCTGAAAAAGATAGAAAAAAACGAGCACCATGCTCAATCGTGATAAGGCAGGGCGCACTTTGCAAGAACCGGCCGCTGTCCACGAGGTGGCAGCGAGTCATTCCGTTTTGGATGTTGCTTCCACCCATCGAGAAGTCGTTCAGGATCCGTGCTGGTTTCCGGTTGGCAACAGGATGTCGACCTCGGAAGTCCGCTCCGGGGTGGTCTGCCGAATCGGTAGAAGATTTTTGGAACCTTGTGTGAAGCCGGAGGACGCGCAACATGCCGTTTGCACTTGACTTGAGCCATCCAGCGGCACATGCCTGCAGATCTGGTCAAAAGTGGACACCGGCATGCTCAGGCATGTCTTTACAACACCCCCAATAAAGGTTGACCAGAACTGCAGACCCTGGTGCTCGTATTCTCGCAAAAGGCGAAAAGTTGAAGCAACGTGGCTGCGAAACTTGTTCTTCAAGTCCCCTGCCCAGCCGACAGCTCAGCGGCTACGTCTACTACACTAAGCCATCCCGTTCTCAAGTAGTGCTCAGTAGCCCCGCTTGCTCTAAGCGGGTCCGCTTTTGTCAATGCATTCACTATCATGTTGTGGTGGGGCACCCATCGCAATGTAGATCTCGTCTCTTGGAGGTCTTTCACGATGATGGCCAATTCCACGGAGCTACGCCTGTCCTGCTTCCCCTGCGGGTGTTCTTTCAGCAATGCGTCGTACAGCGACTTTGCGTCCGTGACCAGGCATTGGTCGCTCCGGGCTCGAAGGTCACACTGTCACACTCGGTGCGCATCACAAGCATGTGACCCGACAGCGAATTCCTCCACTGTCGCAAATCGACGTCGTGACGAGTAGCGCCTCTGACCATTATTTGGAGCCAGTCTACTTCGGTGATGACCTGAAGCATAACTCCGCCTCCAAAAAAGCTGAAGACCTTGCGGCGCAACTTGCTGCTTTTCCAGGCAAGAGGGACCTTTCGATCACCGAGTGGCAGACCGTCGGAGGCAAGCACGACTGTCCGTGGGCAGATTCAGCTCGTCCAGGCGGTCGTGCTTTGCCCCGACCCCGCCCACGTCTGAGATGACGACGAACGAGAGGTCCTTGGGTGACATCTTCAAAACGGTAAGGGGACGGGAGGCAGTGTTGCTCAAGTGATTGATGTTCTTGTTCACGATCGGAGCGTCCTCCACGGTCGCTTGCTTCAAATTGGAAGCCATGATGCTCGCCAGTCCGCTCATCTCTGGACGGGATTCTTTGGCTACCCAGTTGATCTTGTAGATAGCCGCGCAGAAGGCTTGGAACTCCTCCTCGGTTAAGGGCGAATCCTTGTCGGCCCTTTTCCCCTTTACCAGAGCGATGGGGCGGAGCTGCTCTCGAAGATATTTCTCCTGATCCACCAGGATGCGGTCTTCTTTCACTCTGATCATTCGACCAGCGTACTCCGCCTCATCGTTGTCCCATTTCCCAAAGTGGAAATGCTCCTGGAACAGGTTGCGGATCTGTTCTCGCAGTGCCGACTATAAAATCATCGACTTCTATCGTTGGTGCCGTCCTTCCCAAAGCGGACCCACCAACATGGTTCTATCACGTTGGGAGTGAACCCGTGGTCGGACAAGAATCGAACGACCGTCTCGCGCCATGCACCTGGCGCGTCGTCGAGGCCGTACACCGGCACCTCAATGGAGATGAGAGCTCCACGAAGCAGATGAAGTCCTTCACAGGGCTCGGCCCACAATGGGCCCTTGGGTCGACGAAGCTTGTCTGACTGGCAGAAGGCGTTCTGGACACTCCGCTTGACCATCGCCATAGCAACAGGTCACCGTAGATGTTGCTTTGGATGGCCTTACAGAGCAGAAGCTAAGGGCCAACCTCTTCAACCCAATCGCATCGCTCGCGGGAGTTAATTGGACGGCAAGCTCCCGCATGCGAGCCTTTGGAAAGGAGTTCGGAGTTGCGGATTCCGTCCTTGGCTGAGTCCGTGGCCAAGGAAGAGAGGGCCAAGAAGAAGGACGATGCCGACGCCGCGCCTGCCAGTTTCTGCCAGGCAGGAAACGGGCTGCCGCGCTGACAAGCGCGAAAGGACCAGGATCCGGATCCGATCGCCCTCAGCTGCTCGGCATCACGGCTGCGGCGGCAACAGCGGCAACGGCGGCTACGGCGGCTCCGGTGCTGGAGCAGCTGCTTCCGGCGCTGGGCCGCCCCCTGTCCCTATTGGCCCGCAGCGGCCGTCTAAGCAGCCCCGACAACACGTAGGTCTGGAACCTGTGATCAGAACTGTCGTCGTCATTGGCACTTGGCATCGTGCCGCGCCAGAAACCGGGTGTGTTGCCACGTTGCTCTGCCAGGACATCGGGCTGCCGGTAGTGAAGAATGCAGCATACAGGGTGGAGTATCTGTTTTACAGGCGGCAGGATCTCAGTATGGGGAGGGCGTGGAGTGGAGATAGCATGCACCTTTGCCCCCTTTTGTCTCACAGGCCCGCGGCTTCCGCGGAGCGCAGCCTTGAGCAGCTTTGACGTTTGAGTCCCGTGCCTTGCCGTGTGAAAATGCAGGATAGGGTCCGAGCGGTAGCCGCGTGTCTAGGGTAGGAGGGTATGTAGGGCTTGCACTGCCTCCGGCCGGACGCAATCCTACGGCACACGGTCGTGCCCTGGGCTGAGTGGTGACTGTAACTGTACGAAGCTGCAGCCGTGAGGTCTTGCCTTTGTGCATGCTGTATGTTGAATTCGATCTCCATGCTTTGCCCAGGCGGGCACCCCAGTTCGTCGTAGGTTGCTTTCTGTGGCCTGCGAGTGCATGTGCGCAGCATGGCCTAGGTTCACCGTGCGATTCGCTGGACTAGACTTTGGCACCAGAGAGAAAAGGGCGCTGCACGATTGTCTGCGCAACTCTGCACGCTTGTGTTGTTCACATCTTCGTCGAGCACATCCGATCAGTGCGACGTCCACTACTACTACTGCTACTACTACTACTACTACTACTACTACTACTACTACTCCTACTCCTACTCCTACTCCTGCTCCTGCTCCTACTCCTACTCCTACTCCTACTCCTACTCCTACTCCTACTCCTGCTACTGCTACTACTACTACTACTACTACTACTACTACTACTACTACTACTACTACTACTACTACTACTACTACTACTACTACTACTACTACTACTACTACTACTACTACTACTACTACTACTACTACTACTACTACTGCTACTGCTACTGCTACTGCTACTGCTACTGCTACTGCTACTACTGCTACTACTGCTACTTCTGCTACTACTGCTACTACTGCTACTACTGCTGCTACTGCTACTACTGCTACTACTGCTACTACTGCTACTACTGCTACTACTGCTACTACTGCATGCTATTGCTACTGCTACTTCTACAATCACTGCTACTGCTTCTACTATCACTGCTACTGCTACTGCTACTGCTACTACTACTGCTACTACTACTGCTACCACTAGGACTACGACCTCTGCGACCACTACGACCAACACGACCACCACTACAACTACCAGTTCACTACCACTACCAGTGCCACTACCACTGCCACCAGCACCAGCACCAGCACCAGCACTGCCACTGCCACTGCCACTGCCACTGCGCCACTGCGCCACTGCGCCACTGCGCCACTGCGCCACTGCGCCACTGCGCAACTGCGCAACTGCCACTGCCACTGCCACTGCCACTGCCACTGCGACCACGACCACGACCACGACCACGACCACGACCACGACCACGACCACCACCACCACCACCACCACCACCGCCACCACGACCACGACCACGACCACGACCACTACCACGACCGCTACCACTACCCCCACCACTACCACTACCACTACCACTACCACTACCACTGCCACTGCCACTGCCACTGCCACTGCCACTGCCACTGCCACGGCCACCCACGGCCACGGCCACGGCCACTGCCACTGCCACTGCCACTCTGCCACTGCCACGACGACGATCACGACGACGACCACGACGACGACCACGACGACGACGTGTGCGCAGACGACGACGACGACCACGTCCAGGACCACTGCCGCTTCCACTGCCACTAGTCCTGAGAATGCCACTATACCGCTACCACTACCACTACCACGACGACTACTACTTCTCCTTCTACCCACTACCACTCCGCCGCTGCCAATGCAAATGCCACTGTCACTGCAAATGCCACTGCCACTGCCACTGCTGCTGCTACTACCACTGCTACTACTACTGCTACTCCTGCTACTACTGCTACGACTGCTGCTGCTACTACTACTACTGCTGCTGCTGCTACTACTACAACTAGTACTACTACTATGTAACTGTACATAGTCCGCGGGCTGGCCGTGAAGCTGTGTGCTTTTATGCATGCTTCCTTAATTCTTGTTCATAACATTTTTGGCTCAAGTGAGCACGGCAGCTAGTCGTAGGTTGCTTTGTGTAGCCTGCGGCACAAGTTGTGCGCAGCACGCCTAGGGCGGACGTTCGGGCTGTCACGCCCGCTGGACTTGCTTTAGGCAGTGGAAAACAAGGGCGTGTGCCTGCCCTGTGTTACTGTCTTTTACAATTGGGGGCTGTTCTGGGAAACGGCTACCCTGGGCGGCTGCTGCGCCGCAACCCTTTTTAACCGTGGCCTTGAAGGCGCGCTTGTCGTGCGCCTTGAGGCCGTGGCCCCGTGGGCACGGGGCTCGTTCCCTTCGCTAGGCGACCATGGGCGCTGAGGTCGCAGGTCAGCCAGAAGGGGCCACGCTGCTGAGGTGCATCGAGGAAGGGTCGGTGGACGAAGAAGAAGGACGGTCGATCCACGACCTTGGCGGAAGAGCGGTTGTGGAAGGAGACTATGGAATTCCTCTACGACGGCTTTGATGCCGAGGAGGAAAAGGAAGAAGAAGAGGAGGAAGATGAGGAAGTGTGGGTGCTCTGGAAGGAGATCCAGGCCCCAGCTCGGAAGAGCTTCTGCCGGAGGCCGGTGTCCCGGCTCCGCGCCCTGCCGTTGTGCCGGCAGGCGTGGCTGAGGCAGCGCGTCGTGCTGAGGCGCTTGCCCTTTCGCCGGTGACCGGCAGCCCGGCCCGTTCCGGGCCACCCTCATCTGCCGGGACGGGTGGTCCCGTGACGGCAGAGTCTCTGCAGGCGGACCTGCGGGAGCTATACCGTCTGACCAGGAACCGGTCGCGGACTACCTGACTCGAGTTTCGAGGCTGGTTGTGGCCTTGAAGGCGCACCAGGCGGAGGTGTCGGTGGAGGATCTGGAGAAGATCACCACCAAAGCTACCCTCCTTGCCGAAGAGTACGGCAAGATCGGGGGGGACTGGCACCCTGCCAGGATGGTGCGGGCTTTGCGTACCAGGTTTACCGTGGCGGCGGTTTCTCTTGGGTCGCAAAACCGAGAATTAACAGGTCGAGAAGGAGATCTCTGCCTCGGGGAGCTGATCTTGGCCCTGCAAGGCAAGAGCAGCGGCGATCCAGAGAAGGTGTGGAGTACGCCTTCTTCCGTTCCGGCCGCGGCGGCCCGGACGGGTGCCGTTGTTGAGCCAGCTGCGAAGGCGCAGGCTGTTCCCCCTCTCCCAGTGGACCTTCAGCTTGCAATCCCCGAGGAACCACAGCCTGGTCCAGGGGACTCATCCCTTAAGTCTCGCCTTGCGGCTCTGGAGATAGAGCTCGAGGGCCTTAAGAAGGACAAGCCGGCCGATGTTCCCTCTTCGAGCGGTGGGGCCGAGGCGCTCACGGAGGCCTTGGCGTCCCGGGGGGAACAGACGTCTATCACCACGGTGAAGACCGATCTCCATTGGCCCTCCCTCACGGACGAGAGGTCGGACGCGCGTGACGTCGTTCAATTCTATGAGGAATTTGAGGACGTTTGTGGGCTAGCCAACAACTGCAAAGGGATGAACTTCCGCGAGAAACTCATTGCCTTGCGTGCCCGTTGCCGCGGTTCGAGGCTTAAGACCTTTACCAACGTGTACAAGGCAGCCTCTAAGACTGGGGAGGTCAACGACAACCCTCAGGCCGCGTATGGGAAGATCAAGCAACGGCACCTCGTTTTCGGAGAGAGCCGAGAAGAGAAGGAAATGAGGGTGGACGCGGAGCACGTCGCCCTTACAAAAGGGAGGTTGACGGGGCATCAATTTGAGCCCCTGTTCGAAGCCTCCATTGCGGAGTTGGAAAGTGTGGGTTTGGGGAAAACCGCGAGGGAGCTCTTCTTGAGCTACCTTCGCAAAATGCCGTCACACCTCCAAAAGGAAATCCGCAGTGACAAGCGGTTGTGGCCAAGTGATGGCTCATCCGCGGGCTTGCGTGGGCCGTCCACCTGGGAGGAGGCCCACAAGGTGGTCTTGGAGTACGAGCAGCGGGAAGCTGCCCACCGCGTCATGGCGAACAGCGTCTATGCGGGCTCCACGGAAGACCCCCTGCCCCGTCCGCAGCGCGAAAGGAGGTCGAGAAGCTGAAAACTGAGCTCAAGGCTTCTAAGGCCGCCTCGGCCACGCTGGCCACTGTCCCGAAGGGAGGAGGTAAGGGGAAGCCTATCTGCTTCCACTTCAAGGACCATGGCAACTGCCCGAAGGGGGACGCCTGCCCTTATTCTCATGATAAGGAGCTCCGGAAGAAGGCCCCAGCGGCTAAGAAGGAGCGAGAGGCGTCCACCTTGGCTACCACGCCAAGGAAGGGCAAAGGAAAGGGTAAGGGTGGAGCCGGAGGGCAGCCCAAGACCAAGGCCAAGGCCAAGCCCAAGGCGAAGTCCAAGGCAGGCCCGAAGCCGCCGGGGACTATCTGTCCTTTCTTTAAGAAGAATGGATCGTGCCGCA